AAAGGGGAGCAAAGCAATGAAGTCCCCGGGGGAATACCAAAAACAGACTTTGGGGCCAGCGTGTGGCAACCCATCAGAAGGGACTGAAAAACACTCCTAAAGGTCAACAAATAGTCTATATATATATAGACTTTTCCTTTTTTGTCCTTGTTTTTTGTTGTTGTTGTTTTTGTCTTCTTTTGTTGTTTTGTTTAGCTTTGTTCTTATTATTGTCTCTGCATATCTATCTAGATAAGATAGGCGGGATAAACAAATAGGAGGAGAAAACAATGAGACCTATGGTCCTGTGGGGGGACACATGAGAGGGGGAAGCAGGGGAAAGGAAGTGGGTGCTAACAGGGATGAGGGAGCAACAAGTGATCTCAAATGGATGGTGAGGAGGGTGTAAGTGGCCTGGTAGGGTTTATCAAGGGCAACGTAACCAAGAGGAATTACTGAAATCCAAATGAAGGCTGAACATGATAGTTGGACAAGAGGAACGTAAAAGGAAATAGAGGAAATGCAAAGGACATTTATAGAGGTCTAAATATGGATGTGTACATGTAAATATATTTATAAATGATGATAGGGAAATAGATCTATGTACATATATTTATAGGTTTAGTATTAAAGGTATCAGTACTCCCTCAACAGAAAAACATTTTGTTCTAATAACCTGGCATTCAGTGATGTTCACCTTCCCTACACGATTGCTGAAGACAAAATGGGTGCATAAGCAAATGTGGTGAAGAAACCTAATGGTTCCCGGCTATCAAAAGGTATAGTGCCTGGGGTCTGAAAGGCTTGAAGATAAACAAGCGGCCATCTAGCTGAGAAGCAACAAAGCTGGGAAGAAAGCACACCAGCCTATATGATCATGATGTGTCAATAGGGTCTGGTATCAGGCATCAAAGACCCAGAACAAAAAATCTTATCAATGTGAATGAGAGGGAGTGTGGAGTGGAGACCCAAAGCCCATCTGTAGGCAATTGGATATCCCTTTACAGAAGGATTGCAGGAAGGAGACAACTCAGTCAGGGTACAGGTCACTGTTGAAACATACAACTTTCTTAATTCTTTAATGCTTCTTCCTCCACACTATCGTGACTCCAATTCTACCTTACAAATCTAGCTAGACCAGAGCATGTACAAAGGAACAGATAAGAGCTGGAAACACAGGGAGTCCAGGACAGATAAACCCCTCAGTGCCAATATTGAGAGTAGTGAATACCAGGGGGGTAAGAGGGAGGTGGGGGGAGAAAAGGGGAACTGATCACAATGATCTATATATAACCTCCTCCCAGGGTGACAGACAACAGAAAAGTGGATGAAGGGAAACATCAGTAAGTGTAAGAGATGAAAACATAATAATAATTTCTAAATTAGCAAGGGTTCGTGAGGGAGGGAAGAAGGGTGGGGGAAGGAGAGGAAAAAATGAGGAGCTGATAACAAGGGCTCAAGCAGAAAGAAAATGTTTTGAAAATGATGATGGCAACAAATGTACAAATGGGCTTGAAACAATGGATGGATGTATGGATTGTGAAAACAAAGCAAAACAAAAAACACCGAACACGTAAAAAACCAAAAAGGTTGACTATGTACAGTATTTACAAGGGTATGGACCTTCTGGAAGTCTCATTCATTGTCAATGGAAATGGGATATGGTGCACCTACCTTGGACACCAGCTGAACTATTTTTAATTAAGCTAGTATTCATCAAATAACCTAGAAATTACATTCAGGTTTTTTACCAAAGTGAAATGAAAATATATGTTCAGGTGGTGGTGGTGTAAAGGAGTCCAGGGAGAAAAAGAATGTTTGGAAAAGGACTGTGGTAGCAATTGTACAATACTGCTTGACGTGATTGAACTATGGAATGATATATGCATTAACTCCCAATTAATAATAACAGGTGCATGTGTATGCGGGTGTGTAGGGAGGGAAAAATGAATATACAGTATTAGTAGTATTTAATGGACCCAACATAAATAGTTTTTTGTGCCTAGTTAAAAAAGATAACTACAATTTATAGCTTACCTTACTAGATACAGGAGTTTGAAACATATTTGCAAGCTGGATACTATCTGTATATGCAAAAGCAGGGCTTTAGTTACCAGTGATACTCTAAGAATGCAGAAGTTAAGAATGACAAGCAGGGGGCGTTACAGAAAGGCTGATTGAGGAATCATTCACTGTGATAGTTAGGGTTTGTATCCACATAGTTAGGCCAGGATTTTCAGTGGTTTGGCGTGAGGCTATAGTAATCTCCCATTATTAGATTTCTTCAGGGGTGTGTGTGGCTGCCTTCAATTAAGCAGATGTTGTGGGAAAGCTTGGTTGTTTTTTGCTATGTCTGGCTGTTACATCTGCATCATCTGACCTCTTGTCCTTTAGACTTGAGCCAGTGGCCTGCTGTATTGCTTACTGATGCTGGGAGTCATCAGCAGCCAGCCATCTCCCTTGCCCACCTTGGATTCATTTGCTTCTGCAGCCAGAAGCCTGTCATGTGATCTGCAGCTCTTGAGTTCATCAGCCCAGGCAGCTATTGAGTTAGAAGTCTCCAGTCTGATATCTGACCCAGAGACTTGGAAGTTGCTCTACGACTGTGTGAGCTATTTCCTTGATATAAACCTCTCTGTATATTTACAGTAAAGCCCTGGTAGGGCGGTAGGCTATGCATTGAGCTGATAACCATAAGTTCAGTGGTTCGCACCCACCAGCTGTGTTCCAAGAGTGAAATGTGAGGCTCTGTTCTCCTATAAAGACTCAAAGTCTTGGAAATGCACAGGGGCAGGTCTTCTCTGGACTATAGGGTCTCTATGAGTCAGAACTGACTTGACGGCAGTGAGATGAGTTTGAGTGTATGTACAGGTATAAGCTTCACTGGCTTGGCTTTTCTAGAGAACCCCGCCTAAGGCATCCAACACCCAAATTCCCTTTCATAATAGAACGCCTGCCTTGTCACATGGCTACCTAAAGATTGTATTTTCTAACCTTTCTTACAGCTCGGGATGATCAAGGAACTAAATTGAAGATGTAAGTGGTTACACAATATTTGCTACTTGTTCTGGGTGGATGCATCAAAAGGGAGACTGTTGGGCTTCCCTGACCTTTCCCCTTTGCTTCATAGCTGGGAGCTGGTCTGCTACCTCCTCTGTTCTATCATCCCCCCGGGAAATAAACGACTACCAGTTTTGTCACTGTATTGTTAGCCTTGTTTATTAATGTAGGTTAGATCACCTGTTAACTGACAGGCTTATGCATCTTAACTCATATCAAATCACCCCTCACTTTTTTGGGGTTGCTTTTTGCAATTCTGCAGTGTCTTTAATACAAAATTATTAAGTTTTGCATATATACCTATAGCACAACATTATTGCCAAGAAAAAAATATGATCATAGATATTTTCAGTCACAACATATGGTGCTGGTAGTAGGCACTGAAAATGGCCACCATTGACAACCTGGCCCTAATTTTATGTGTACAAGTGCTGACTCCATAATTAGAATTCTTGTCTCTGAGAAGTGCACACATTCATATGTAAACACCGCACAACCTCAGGGTCAATTGGGAGGAGGCAATACACATTCCACCTCATTTCATTTTGTACCATGTAGGGGGCTGGGCGGAGACAGAAAATAATTGTTTTACAAAAGAGGAAATTTGGAACAAGAAAGGAACATTTCTATAGCCATAGGGGGGGCCTTGATTTCTTTTTTCACTTGTGTGAAAGATATGTCAATATTTTGTGTTTGTTCCATATCTGTATTCTAGTTTCTTTCCCGGCCCCCTTATCTCCTCATCTTTGCTTTTGCATAATTGTTGACCTTTGGGTCTTCTACTGACCGTTTTTATATTGAGTATCGATCTCATAGGTAATATCGTGTATTTGGATGCCACTGGGTTATTGAGTTAAAGCTTGATCTTAGGGGACAGGCTTGGTTCTGGGTTTAAAGTGTTTCAGGGAATCAGTCTTGTTCTCTATGTGTCTGCCTTTGTAATTTTTTTTAAGTAAGAATTTGAATTCTGCTCTATATTTTTCTCTCCTTCTATGAGACCATCTCTATGGTCTTGGCATGAACAGTTTTCCTTTTATAGATGAGAAAATTAAGTCAGAGATATTAAATGACATCCCCTTTGTTACACAGATCACTGGTAGAGTAAGAATTCATAACCAGTTCCCCAAATTTGAGGTTCTTTCTAAAGCCACAGATGTAGGAATCAGAGCAATATTTACATTTCTGGGACACTGAAAAGGATTCTCGATTCCCCAAAGCACTTTATTTTTCACTGATGCCCAAAATTAAGCTACTAATAGGATAGTAATAGGATAGTAACTTCCGATCAGAGTACACAGAGCTATTAATATTATAGGCACTTCATATCAGAGAATACACTGAGCTGAAGTAGTGGAGGAAGTAAAGAAAGGTAAAGAGGGCAGGAAAGTCATCGTAGGAGTACAGGGAATGAAGGAGGGCTGGGGAAGAGGAGAACTGGATTCAGTGAAAAGTTAACCAAACCCTAAACATACAAATATCCCCTGAAATCACTGTCCTATCATTGGTACTCATTAACAAGATCCTGCAAAACTAAACAATGGTCAGTACATTCTGCTGAAAACAGCAAGGTAGCTTGCCTAGAATGATGTCTGACAAATACTGAGCCAAAGATTGCAAGGCAAAATATAGATGAATATAAGCTTAAATTTCATTTACATGGAAAAGTTCATTAACTGACCACACTTCTTTAGTACTTAGATAGCTTGCTGGTATTTCTGAATAGACCCTTAAATTAGAGAAATCAACAGTTTCAAATTACCTAGTGACTTAATTGTAAAACCTCGACAGTCAGAATCTTAGTGACTATTCTTGTCTTCGTGAAGACAGGATGCTTCAGTCTTAAAAAAGTTTATTTTTTCCCCCTAGAAATAGATTACAGGAAAGAGCTATGAATCTAGGATTCTCTTTCCTTGAAAAGATTTTCATTAGAGAAATGCCTTTTAAAGTATTGAATATCTTACCTGGATGTTGTCAAACTTTAAACCTGGCATGGTGAGATTCTCCTTGTCAATGAACACAGTGCTATACTGTTGAGTTGCTACAGAAATCAAAACATTCCGGGTCCCCTCACTAGGAAGCCAAGCATCATTTCTTCGGTCCATCTCACTCATATTCAGGGCAGTGGCAAAGGGGTCATCACTTCCTGCAAATACAGCTTGTATCTGAGAAAATGGTTTGGGGCTTTGAGAAATTTCTAGAGAAGCTGTAGAAATGCCTGATTCTGATCTTTCCATCCTTGGAGAGTAGGAAGGATCAACAGAATCAGGAGATTTATCTCCTACTGTAGTAGTCAGAGAAGACAATTTTTCTGGAACCGAGGAGCCTGCATTAGGATTACTGACAGAAATGAAAGTGGAGGTAGTAAATGAATCAAAGAAGTCAGAAGCCAACGAATTTGTGTTGGTTGTATCGCCAAAAAATTTACTCAGGCTGGGGCTTGGCTGGACGACCTGAGGGGGTGTCTTGGCTGAAGTTTCACTCGCACTGCTGAAACTCGGAGATTTTACCATCTGAGACTCAAAGCCATCATGGAGAAATAAGTGATGTTGGGAATTAGCTGTATTTGACTGACTGAAAATGGTACAAACAGGGACAGGTTCATCTTTAGAAGGCTGACCAGAAGATACTTCTGACATCTGTTCTTCTGGGTCAGTTGGGACGGAGCCCACTGCATTTCCACTTTCAAATACAGGCATGTCCTTTATTTCTTCTTGAGCTGGGTCTTCTTTCAAAGAGGCTTTGCTATCAGGAGTCATGTCAGAGACATCTTTTGGTGTATCCTCATGGTCCGTTTCACTGTTATTACTCACAGTATCAACTCCTTCTTTATCTATATTTTCCATTTTGTTATCAGATTGGCTTTCCTCAGGCTCTACAACATCCTGCAAACAACCAAGTTCGCCCACATCATCTTCACTGTTATTAGGAGAGTCAGAGATGAAGACACTTTCCATCATATGCTCATTAAGCTTATCCATGAAATTGTTCGAATCTTCTGATATGGTCTCATTCCCTTCAGACCCAAACTCATCCCCACCGAGATCAATGGTTTCCTCGTGAAGGAGAAGCTGTGCTTGCTCTTCCTCAGTCACCTGCTGAAGGATGCTCTCCGTGCCCTCTGAATTTGGAATAGACTCCCCGGTCATGTCTTCCTTATTAGTGTTCACATTTTCCATCGTTGTCTGAAATAAAAACAGATATAAATTGACCTCATCAGTTTTGTGCTTAAGTTATTACTAAGTTAAGTTGATCTTATTATTAAAACTGGTTTTTTAAAATCATTTTATTGGGGGCTCATACAACTCATATCACAATCCATACATACATTTTTTAAAGCACATTAAAATTGTTTTTATTTTTATTTATTTTTTAAAATTATTTTATTGGGGGCTCGTACAATTCCTATCACAATCCACACATACATCCATTGTGTCAAGCACATATGTACATTTGTTGCCCTCATCATTCTCAAAACATTTGCCTTCTACTTTAGCCCTTATTGTCAGTTGCTCATTTTCCCCCTCCCTTCCCACTCCCTCCTCCTTCACAATTCATAATTATAGTTTTGTCATAAGTTACACTGTCTGACGTCTCCCTCCGCCCTCTTCGCTGCTGTCCATCCCCCAGGAGGAGGCTATACTTAGATTCTTGTAATTGGTTCCCCCTTTCTATCCCACATTCCATTCACCCTCCAGGCATCGCCCACCACTTCACCACTGGTCCTGAAGGAGTCATCTATCCTGGATTCCCTGTGTTTACAGTTGCTATCTGTACCAATGTATATCCTCTGGTCTAGCCAGATTTGCAAGGCAGAATTGGGATCATCATTGGGGGATTAAAATTATTTTTAATGAAAATATGTTCAGTATAATATAGTCAATAGTTCAAAAACCAAAAGATCACACGTTTTTCGACCTGTTAAATACCGCTCATTTTTTTAAGGTTTAGTGGAGTCTCTCTTATTCTTGAAGCATTCCTAAGCCATACCAACCTATCCCCTGGACCTCTCCTGGGCCTATGACATTGTTATAACTAACTCTAGGAATTTGAAGGCATGGTAGTTAACTAGTAAGAAAGCAAAAGGCATACTCATTGATCAATGATTGCTAAAGCTGATGACAAGAATCAATATTTATTACACTCTTACTATGAGCCAGGCTTTTCAGATGGTTTATGTGAGTTTTCTTAATTAATCCTAACATAATTCCTATGTTACTAGCTGCTGCTATCTGCCTTTGGAAGATGAGGAAACTGAGGCTTACAGAGACCATGTGGATTGCATGAAATCACATAACTAGAAAACGGAGAAACCAGAGTTAGTGGAATGTTGAGCTGACAGTAGACAGTGGAGGGCCACAGACTAGGGCAAGGAGTTTAAACCTGAACAAAAAATATTTTCTCCCTTTCTTGAAAAACTTCCCCCAATCAAATTACTTTACATAGTCTTATTCTCATAATGAATAATAAATTCAAGTTAATCTTTTAATGGTGGAATTATTTTATGTTTGACAGATTTGGTTGATATAAGATTTCTTAGTAATAGAATGCACAGAATAACTGAGTCATATTAAAATTAATCACAAGATAGATTTTCATAAATACTAAGTGGGAGATATATGTCCCCCTGGACTCTAGAAGTTAGACACATGGGATGAGTCATGAGAAAACTCATTTGTCCTTAGCAAAGTTATGTTTTTATCTTTTCAGTATGAATTAGGTGATGGTTTATATAGCAGACCATTTTACATTTGACAATTCAAACACATTTTGTTTCAACTCACCCACAGCGATCCTCTCAATGTACCTTCACTTATTCCACTTGCTGCCTGTGCTTCAGGTTTACGATTCTCCTCTAAACTTCATCCTGGGGTATAGGCTACCCTTTTGTTCATAAGTGGCCGACTCTTCTAAGAAGGGGCTGAGTCTAGGGGCACAGTCTTGCCTGTTACACCCATCTCTATCCTACCAGTAAGCTTGGTCTCAGGTAAGATTTGGGTTTTGTTTCACATTTTTCTCCCACTCTATTCAAGACCTACTATTGTGTTCTTTTTCAGAGCAGCTAGTAATGGTGGCCATGCATAATCTAATTCTTGTTTTAGGGTTGTGGAGGTTGATATTGGCACCATCTATCAGTCCATTGGATTGTTTCCACAGGTTTTTGATTTTCACCACTCCTCTTTCCTCAAGATGGGGAGAGCCCAGTAATTGTACCTCGGATGGCTGCTCACAAGTGTTTAAGTCTCCAGTCACCACAGTGGAATATGAAGCAGAACGTTGTCTTTACGGCATCCCTGAGACTACAATCCTGAGCTCCCAGACCTTGTAATCTTATTCCTTTATAGTCTTTAAAGACTATAGTCTTTAGTTATGTCTAAGGCGTGTTTTAACTTTGCTCCCTGCATCTTAGCAAATTTATTTTACTGGGTGAAACTTTTGGAAACACGGGACAATACATGAAGGCCCCTTGCAATGGCTGTCCTAACTGTTGTTCACACCTTCTTCTGAGGGCTCCATTTGCTGTATCACTTTTGAGCTACCTTGACAGTTTACCTTGACAGACACTTAGACAGGCTTGCAACCTGTTGGAGCAGAGTCATTCTGCGCCCTCCTTACTTCTGGGCTGTATGTCACAAGAAAGGTCTTCCTATTCTTTTGATTTCTTGGCTTTATGGTAAGCTAATGAGAGTGAGCCTGAAGGGAAGCTGGTCACATCAGCTTTCAGCTGTTATATGGTGCTTATAAAAATTAGCACAGCACACTTGAAAAACCACTTAGGGGAAGAAGGAAGGAATATAAACCTGTAAAAAGGCTGCTGCTATCCAGTCAATTCGGATTCAACAATAAAATGTGAACTCACTGCCATTGACTTGATTTTGACTCATAATGACCCTACAGAATAGAGTAGAACTGCCCTGTGGGTTTCTGAAACTAGGAATCTGAACTGGAGTAGAAAACTTCATCTTCCTCCTGAGGAGTGGCTGGTGGTTTCAAACTGCTGGCCTGGTGGTTCTTGGCACAAGGCATAACTCACCCCATCACCATGGTTTCCAAGGCTATAAATCTTTATGGAAGCAGAGAGCCTCATCTTTCTCCCAATGATTCTCATAGTTTGTACCTGGAAATGAGCTAATTATTTAGTATATCATCACCAAAACCACGATTTCTAAAATAACACAGAAAATCATACACACATTTACAGAGCTTATCTTGCAGTAAATAAAAGTTTTACATATTCACACTTCTGGGATCCACTCCTTCAATCAATACCCATTCAACATCTGGTTCACTCTGACACATATGCACTACTATTTCTTTCAGCTGACCCAAGGGCCAAGACCTCATGTCACTTGATCAAAAGATGGCAGACAACACCAATGAAGCCCACTTTTAACTGCCCCTCACAAATGTTAAGCAGGGAACTGTACATATATTCGCACAGTGTACCACACCCAACAGCAGACAGCTGGTAAGCATTTAAGAAACCAACATAAAACCACCAATTAAATACACACACAATAAGGCAGATTAGTAGACAACTTAAGCCTTCCAAGGCAGCAATATAAAGTGGCTCAAAGAAGTGGCCAAACTACAGAGCCAGACAACTGCTTTGAAACTAAATTACCTGATAGGGAATTGAAGTGGGTGGCATTTAGGGACTTCAGAGAGAAAGACTGAGAAAAATGCAGATGAAATCAAGAAAAACATAGGTGAAATATTAGAAGATTTCTGATAACTGAAGAAAACTGAAACCATACGAAAGCAGCAAACAGAAATCTAAATATTAACATTAAGATTTCAGAAATAGGTAATACAATGAAATGGCAAAGGAGCAGATTAAAGTACATGGAACTATGAATTCATGAGCATGAAGACAAATCTCAACACTGATCTGCTAGTGGAACAACTAGATAAAAGAGCAACAAAGGAAAGAAAGATTAAGTGGCATACCATCAAGTGGACTGACTTATAGGCAATCAGGATTCCAGAGCAAGACACACAGAGAAAAAAAGAAGACACAGCACTTTCAAATATTTTTGGAAGTAACTGATTACTGATAGATACCTGGATCACTTATAAGAGATGGGAAAGGAAAAATAAATGCTACTTTAAAAAATGAAAACATGCAGTAGAACCTACAAGTCAGTTGGTATTCACAGGAGTAGTAAAACCAAAACTAAGTCCATTGTGGACTCTAATCTTACTCATACTGACACCAACAAAGCAGACATACTCCACGGGGCTTTCTCGCTTGTAATCTTTATGGAAGCAGAGGACAGGCTCTTACTCTGAGGCAATGGTATGTGCAGTCACATCATCAATGGTGCAGTTAGAAGCAAACTACTAACCACTTATGCCACTAAGCGACATTATATAAGGGGTCAGACATACATATTTTATTATAAAATATAAATTTCTATGGTGGCAGTAATTATCAGTTAGTGAGTTCTTACTCATGAGGCCAATGTAATGGAATGAACTATTGCCAGGTCCTGCCACCCCCCTCACAATCTTTGATATGTTAGAGTCCCCAGCTGCGGCTAGCATCTCAATCTATCTCTTGAGGCATGCATACTTTGTACAAAAATAGCTTCTTTACTGCTAAGTGGTTACTTCTAGAATTATTCACATGTAATGTCTACATTGCAAAGGAGCACTGGTAGCCCAGTGATTAAAGTGTCCAGCTGCTAACCCAAAGGTAGACAGTTTGAACACACCAGCTGCTTGGTGGAGGTAAATGTGGTGGTCAGTTTGTCAAGATGTACAGCCCTGGACACTCTCGGGCAGTTCTGGTCTGTCCTAGAGTTGCTGGGTTGGCATCACCTCATTGGCAGTGGGTTTGGATTGGGGTTTAATGTATCAATAGAGCAACGATAATCTATTACCTAGTAAATCTTTACCTCTTAGAATAAGAAGAAAAATCATAATGGGATTTTTTTAGTCTTCCATTATACATTTTGTTCTGAGTCTGTATTTCCTTTTAGCTGCACTGTGCTAGATGGAAAAGTTCTTGGCAATACATTTTTCCTAGCAAACAGTCAATTCAAACAACTTTAAATTCTCCTTATGATTATGCAAGCACTACAAGCACTTATTAGTTGATAAACACAAATTTTATAAAGAGAATATACACACCCTTTTGTTACTTGGGTATTTAGCAAACATGTATAATTGACGATGTAGA